TAAGGGTTGCTAACGCTTTTTCACAGGAACCTAAAACGTACTTCATTACCGAAGAACTCTTGACAAATACTTCGACCTCCTCTCCTTTCTCTGATAACTTTTTGCAAGTGGCCACTGCTTCCTTCTTCCTCCCCAATGCGACACAGACGTGCACCAGTAAATTGTAAGCCAAAATCCCCGCCGTTGTCACGCATTCACCGTGGTCTTCGATGTATCTCTTTATGCCGGGACTGCATAAGATGCGCGAGGAATACGAGAAGGAAATTTGAATATCCCAAAGTTCATCATTCTCTGAAATTATCCCCCTCAGCACTTTGTCGGCTTCTTCAAAACACTCCTGATCATAGAGAAGGCCTACGTAGCTTATTTTAAGAGGAATGTTTTCTGCACTGTCTAAACCAAGTTGATAAAATTTTTCAGCTAGGTTTCTCTCCTCGACGGTGCCTTTTCCCGTATTTTTTATGGACTGGCGTCTGTGACAATGTCCAAGCCTAGTTGTTATCGCATCGCGAGCTTTCTTTACATCCGAAAAATTTCCAGTGCACTCTACGACACTCAGCGCTCTTTCGTGTAGCATAACCGCTGCCTCCTCTCTTCCACGGTCAACGTAAAGTTTTGCCACAATCTCGAAAAATCTGGGAAGCATATTCAAGCCATCTGTATTTTTCAGTAATATCTGCATGCAGAGTTCTATCGTTTCTTCAAATGCTGTGACATTCGACTGTGTGAGATGAACCTTCGCTACCGTGATTGCGTCTAACAATTCCAGGAATTCCTGCTCCATGGAGATGGTATCTGGGAGCCCCGATGCTAAGAATTTCGAAAGTGACTTTGTTAACCATATTAGGGCAGCATTGTTGTCTCCTGACGATATTTGAATCTGTCCAATCCAGGAATAAAGACAACAACGTATATTTAAATTATCACCATCCAGAACAGTGTCGTTCACAACTGCATCTTCATTTAGAACGCCAGCTATATCTTCAAGTATATCTTCAGGAGGCTCATCAATCACATCGGCTATTTTGGGGGGCTCGTCTACCTTGTTTAAAAGAGTAAGTGCTGTAACCAAGATCGGGTTAGTATCGTTCACCTCTGCTTCTTTATTGAGGGCGTCAGCCATATCTTCAAGAGATTCAACAATCTCATGCGCTATTTTTCGCGACTCATCTACTTTGTTTAAACGGAAAAGAGCTGTAACTAAACATCGTCGAAGTTTATAATTCAACTTCACATATTTTACCAATTCTTTTGGCCGCGTGCTGCAGTGCAGCATCTCGATACACACAAGTCCTCGTTTGCTGATGGAAACCACTTCTTCAAGTTCGTGATCTGCAGTTGCTAAACTCATCAAACATTGGGCAGCTTGTGAAAACAACTTCGTCTGAAGGGGCAGAAAGTTCTCTTCTTTCGATACAGAAGCGCCAAACAAATGCATGCCCTCTTGACAGGTCTTCCAAGCAGCTTTATAATCATCGCAGAGCATATGACTTCTCGCTAATTCTGTCAAAACTTCCAAATGTTCTGTTTGGACACAAGGTGTTTTTGCCTCAGCATAAAAATCAGCTGCGTCGACAAAACATAGGGCTGCCGTGCGATAATTTCTCTCAAACATATTGCAATCCCCTCGCATTTTAGAAATTTTAGCTTTAGTTTGTGGTTGAGAGGGAAAGGAGTCGGCGAGATGTAGATACACCAACATCATCATTGATCCGTGGCTTTTTTTCGTCTCGAGTGCTTCATTGAACAAATATTCAGCAGGATCGATATTCTCTGGGCAGTTATTTTGGAAGAGAGACACGACAAATGGCTTTAAACGTCCACGAATGGTTCTGGATGCCTGCAAAGTATTTCCAGTCTTTAAATTGCTATTTACATTCTCAGCCAGCTTGTGCAACTTATCCATTCTCTCTTCAAAATTCTGGATTCTTTTTGATTGCTTTTTTTTCCTTGCAGTGATGTTCTGTGATTCTGTTGCAATTTCTTCGCAAAAATCGAAAAGCAATGTATCGAAATCCAAGCTTCCATCATCAGACGGTAAAAACTCAAACAGCTTCGTTGTTACATTATGCACAACGCGTGCGAAGCTGGAGTCTGCAGCCATCGGTTTTGCTTTGCGTGAACTCGTTTCTCCCTTTTTTGCTGTTATTTTAGCGTCATTAGAGCGTGTAACAACTGACGATACTGCTTCAACAAGCTGGTCTGTAGCCCCAGGGAAAGCTAAAGGTGCTAATTCTTCGGCGATCCACTCTTGAGTATGCATGAAAAGGCGTTCTTCAAACGCCCTCGTTTGCATATTATTGTTCGCAGTACTTTCCCTTTCGGCTGCATTGAAAAGTTTATTTGCGCGTTCGAGAGCAATGTACGCCTTTCCCAATTCTTCCAAGGACGCATTTGTATCTGAAAGTGCGGTCAGGGCGGCAACGTCAACTTCATGTGTATCAACTTTGATACTTTTGCACATTTCCAATGCTTCAAGCAAGAGTTTCTCTTTTTCCTTGACAAAATCAAATAAACTATATTTTGACGCCAGGAAGACCAACATTGAAACGACCATGCTATCTACATACCCAAGTGAGATTTGATGTTGGAGAACCTCTTTAGCCCGGTCATAGTGAACCCGTCGAGAATTCTGTGTCTTTTCTGAGGACAACGGGACATCTATTGAATTGAAGTATAAATTTGTCATATCCCCAACGTTAATGTGCAGCTCGGCTTCGAATAATGGAGCATTCAATAGGGCACTCGACTTCTTGTAGTTGGCTAGTGCCTCCTCATAAAACGCAAGGGCATGATCGACGTCTTCCAGATTGACCCAAAGCATCCCAATCCTCCTTATATAGTCGCATGATTGGATGTCTCCGGTGACTTTTGAGGTATGCTTCCATGCTTCTTTCAACAAACTTTTCACCTCTTTTGAATCCTCCTTTTCAAACATTATCATGCAAAGCTGTAACAAGCACTCAACAATTGCGCACGTGTTCTCATTATCGACCAGGAAACAGTCCAGAGCCTCCCTATAGAAGGGCTCTGCTTGTAAAGGAAGACCTTGTTGAACGTAAAATTGTCCGAGAATTTTAAGATACTGAGCTTTGTGGCGCGCTTTAAGCTCGGAATTGGGGTCCTCGAGGCTCCTTTTTATCAGAAGTACCGCATCCTCGTGTCTTCCAAACATGAAAAGGTTATCGGCAGCAACACCACAGGTTAGAGGCACTTTTATGTCCAAGTTAGTTATCCTCTTTAAACACTCTTGCGCAACCATCGAAGAGTTCAGCGCCTTTTCTGACTCATTTAAAGCGTTCCAGGCAATCGCTAGCATGGCATGAGTTGTGCATTCCAAAAAAGGCTCTCGCTTGAAACTGTCACTTTTTAAAAGTGCTAAAACGTCCTTGAAATAGGAAATAGCTTCCTCATTGTGGTTGGTGTGGAGGCAGAGGATTCCTACCATCATTTGATCTTCGATATTAATCAATTTTTCGCCGCTTTCACCATTCAGGGACTTGCGTAATTGAAGAAGCTCCTCGTAGTAAACTTTACCTTCCTGGTACAGGCCTAGTTTTAATGTGATTATTCCAAGCAAAGTTAACGTCATCTTGGTTTGTGGGTTGTAGTTAGAAATGAAAAAAGTACGTTCCATCGCGAGTGCTCGTTGTAAACACTGGTAAGCTTGCTGAAAATTCCCTTGATTAATCAATAATCCACCGAGCTCGTTTAAAAATGCAATGCTCTGGATGGAAATCCCTTCTTCCTCTACAACCATTCCGAGATAAGCAACCAGTTTTTCCGACTCCTCTCGATTTATTTGCCGATGAGTCATTCGCATAGGGCTAAAGTAAGTCGGAAAGTTCTCGGACTGATCGACGATCGCACAATGATCAGAAATGTGTCGAGCCACTTCCAAATTTCCTTGGGAAAGGTGGAAGAGGCGCAAATGTTCCAAGACCTTCAGTAATTCCAATCTGCTATCTGGTTCATTTTGCAGTAAAATAATGTTGATCGGCGGAACGAAGTGCCCATTTTGATCGACATTCCCTTCTGGAAGGCCATGCTTCTTGCACAGTCTACGAGTTAAAGCTTCAAGTTGTTTCTCTACGCACAGAGCCATTTCCGCACTACTGTCCAATTCCATCTGAAACGAAAGTCTGCGAAGTTGCATTTCCACATCTTCGGGGTTTTCTTCCAGTGCTTTTTCGTAACACTCAAGAGCTTTCTCGTACTTCAAGATACGACTATAAACATGACCCCTAACTGCGGGAGAGCAGTCAAAAAACGTCTGTTCCGCAAACGAACTTGAATTGTTTCCGTCCAATATACAGCATTGTCGAATAGCTTTGTACAAAGGCGTTGCAACGAAGAAAATGTGAAACAGTTCTTCTTCATTCAGCAAACAATAAAACGTTTCAAAATTGCTTGCAATTGCCTCATCTTTATCAATGGTGTTTGCAATGACTAGCTCTCCCTGTTTTCCGGCTTCAAGGTATGTTTTTATTCTCAGTTCGAGAGCAATGCCTGCTGCACTGGCTAAATTTTCCCGGCCTGCAGATGTGATTATCTCATTTCTTTCCAACTCATCGAGAATCTTGAATGCCCCATTCATCCTGATCCCAAAGAATGATGCAAGACCTGCAACACACGATCCACTAAGCGATAAATCTCCTTTTTAACATCGTACAGTTTGCCGTCTTGCACATTGTAAATGCTGGGTAACATCTTTTCATAGCGGGAAAAATCCTTTCGAAGTCCAGCCATTCCTCTACACACTCCACGACATGGAGGATTCCCGTTAGAAATATGGTTGTCATGGCAATTACTAAGATCACACGGAGAACACAAATATTTTTCCAGCTGTGCTCTGTATTGCTCGATCAATTTCGTTTCCCCATTCGATTCTAGTGGAGCAACGGTTAACAGAATATCTGCAAGATTTGGATTTTTTTGACACCAAGAGTCGCTCTGGAACTCTGCCATTTTGGCCGGGCAATGAATCAACTCGAAATCTTTCATGTTTCCCAACGGTGTCTTGCATGCCTGTGGAAGGAATCCGTCGAAGGATATCCCCTCGGTGTTACATTGTCGTAGAACCATTCACCGCTCAATGCTTTGATACCCATGCTTGGTAGAATAGTTTCCCCGAGGTTGATTATCTGCGGAAAAAGCAGTCTAAGGTTAGAAACATTATTGTGAATGGACATCTTGACTGGTTGACTGTACCCATGCGGGTATGCCAAAGACTCATCCTAAATGCTTTTCATGGAAGTATCCAGCTGAGCTAGTATACTGCAAATGGACTGGAACAAGTTCATTTGATCAATGATTTATTATTTATGTTTCCCCTTTAGGTGTACATCCTGACGTTAGACATACAAAATTATCAGAGGATAACATAAAGTAGGGTCATTAATTGAATGCCCTTTGACGGATTTTAGCTTCACCCATTGAGCCTTACCTTATAGATTATTCCTAGCCACGTTGCCACGCTAAAAGCCTACAGTTTTCATACCGACAATGAAATGGGATTCATTTACTTACCTGTAAGTGAACCAAGTTCGTTAAATTACGAAAGAACACTTTGCATTTCACTTCTTCTGAACTTATCAATATGGCCCATTCAAGATCGGAGTATGGCGTCATTTCCTCTCGCGCCAAAGACCCCAGAACAACAACTTCGTAGTTGCATGGCGGATCTCCTAACACCTGGACGCATTGACTGATAACTCTGCTCAGGAACCGTTTCACTTTTGATGATATTCCTTCGCATAATTTCCTAATCTCCGATGCCCGTTCAATAAATTTGTTGGTCTTCTCCGGTTTTTCGTGCTCTTGGCTATCGTAGGCTGACCTTTTCTGCTTTAACGATTCCAAATATTCTTTCGCCTCGTTTCGTAGTTCCTCCACCTCCTTCTTGTCAAGTTCTGAGTCAAAATCACATCGAAGTGGATCTCCTTCAGCTGATAACACTAAGTTGTTTTGGATACTCAGCAATCGTTTAGATACCGCCTTCGTTGTCTCAATCAAGCAATCCTTGCCGGCACGACCTTTCTTTATGCAGTTCTTCACGAAGTTGTACAGCGACCCTGCTTGAAGAAGAAGTCTCTGCTTTTCTAAAGAATTACCGTTAATTTTCGCTGCTTTCGTTTCCAGGACTTCCCCTAAGCAGAAATGTGGTTCCCAGCTCACCTCTTTCGACCTGTTCTCTAGAATTTGCTTTCGTACGGCTTGAGAACAGTGTTTTTCAGCAATATCTAGCTCCGCTCTAGACAAAGCTTGTTTCGCCATTGCAACCAATTCAGCACTTGTGTGCTAAAAAATGAAGCATTAATTGTTTTAAAAACGCTGCCTTTTAGTGAAACGAATTTCTTTTTATTTCGACGAATAAAAAGATATCTTTCAGCATAACGTGTTTTACAATTGACCGTAACGAAAAAGATGGCGGCATGTACAAAATACTGCAGAGCTTGATCAAAGTTCACATTAAAATGTAATAGTTTCGCCCCTGACTACAATGTGAAGTACTAATTTTTTTGAAATTCGTGGCGGCATGTACATTTTACCAGAATGCATTGCAGGCATTAAGAACGATTGATTGAAAAAAGATGGCAAGAAAAACTCTTAATGACGTGAAATTTTAACACAGCGAAGAAAATAACTTTCTGTTTTATGTTTGTCCTTTAAAAGACGTCAGTTCGCTTTTTTAAACCATTTCCGAGCGCAATGCATTCTGGTAAAATGTACATCCGCCATTTTTTTGTTATGGGTAATTGAAGTAGCTGGACGAACACCATCAACTAAATGCATAACAATTTCATTACCTCGACGGCAGCTTTATTTTGTTCGCCCAGCATTCCTGGAAAGATTACTGTTCGAAAGTCTATTGAGAGAAAATTAAGATTATTATTATTAATTGTGAAATTCATGAATAATTGCAATCATTGCAATCATTGCGCAGTATTTTGGTCACATGTATACATCTGTAATTCTCCATAAAGGTCTCATTAATTGTTAATTAATAATTTTGTTAATTAGTAACTTCATAACTTTGTTACACACATGTCCTAATATGCATTAAGCTTAATTTGTTAATTTCACAAGCACGTTAAAATACGAACCGAAAGCTTTGCAGTGTTACATATCGACGTGGTGTACCTACAAGCTAATTTACTTAACTATTAACTTATTGAACAGAATGGAATAACTATATAGAAAATAAATATATTCTTTTTGAGAATAAAAACTTGCTGTCGAAAAATACTGCAGGGCTTGAACAAAGTTCACATTAAACTACAATGTGAAGTGCTAATTTTTTGGAAATTCATCAAATTTCTACCCGCATTGCTTTAAGTATACTCTATGATATATACCTTGCTGTTTTGCTTGTAAATATGACCTTCCCCCGTTCAACCATGGCAACAGTTGCCTGAAACCTAGTAAATTGAACATTGACATTCCTAATTGCAATTATAGCTAATTAATTGATTCCATGCAATCTTGCCTGCTATTTTATAAATTTCTCTTATATAATTTGAAACCTGGCCAGAAATTTGATACAGTCAGCGGTTGTTGTATTATTAGATTGCGGGCGCACGCGAGAATGACGTAACCTTGCTAGGTTTTGCTTAAGAAAAAAGTAATTTACAAGTATATCATTCATATCAAATCACATTGCATAACAAGAAATAAAATGCTAAATGTTTTGCGCAGTGGTGTAGCCAGCCAGACGATAGAATTTTAACAATTAAAGCAAAGTTATCATAATTATTCATTCCTTTAGAAATTGATTGTTTTCCGAGTGAACAAACGCAAAAATATTAGCATAACCAGGAGTAGGCCTTCAGATTAGCTACGAGAAAAATCTGTAACGCCATTTGAAACCAGTTTAAGTTACAGAACGTTGCGTATTTTTTACACATATCGGGTTGATCATTATTCGGACTAACAAGACTTTTGGACACGAAAAAGGTTGTAATATGACGATATTATACGGACCTAAACTAAGTCTTGTCACTCAACGTTGTTGTACAATTTCAATAACATATGGAACCAGCTATTTGAAATAGGTCTTATCTTGCCTTCTTGTGAAAATTGTTGAAAACTTGGTGAGAGAATATCAAACACGAATAGGCAAGTAAGGTAAGCCGTGTTTTTCTTGTATATTTCTCGCGTTTTGACTGTGCGAATAAGCCTCATTGTATATGCGCCTTTAATGCCTCTCGCCATGTTGTATTTAATTTCTGGTCGGGTGATCCAACAGATTGAAGCAAAGATTGCATCAACACGTCATTGGGTTTTTTCAGGGATTTCACAATTAAGGTAAATTTACTTCAAATTAACTACCACCAGGGAGGGAGGGTTCAGTCTTAACAGGATATAAAAGTTTTAAAGACAATGTTAACATTATAAGGTCACAGGCTCGATCACAGCGTATGTGATACAAAAGGTTACCCGCAAAATGAGTAATTTAACAACAGTGATGGCTGTCAAAGTAGAGCGAGCACATGGTCTCCAGTTACTATGGCGACACATCAGAACGAGGCAAATCAGACATCGCAAATCTCGATATGACACGGCTAGGAAGCGTTCTCCTTCGTCGAACGCAAAAAGTTCTTTGAGGACAGTAGCTTACATGACTTTTATAACAACACATATATAGACAAAGCACGTGCACTGAAAACGAAAAATAAGGCACAAGTAGGCGTAAATAATATTAAGTGCGTTGCAATTCTGTGTGGAATCTAACACGTAATTAAAAAATCCCACAAATTGCATAAACCCGCGAATTGCTTTTGAAAGAATTCTAGTATGTATTTAAATGTACTTTGATACTTCGGTTTTCAGGGTCACGTTGAGCAAATTTTCCGCGTGAGATCTGCGTATACTTTGTCATGTTATAAGATTGTACGACTGTACCGACTATTCATGCATGCATCGAGGTCAGTGACTAGGACAAGCATTACCGCCAGATTTAAATCAAAAAATGTATTTACATAATTGATAAATAACGTTACCAAACTGATTTCTGTGCCGCCTACGGTACAATATAGAATTTGCAAGCTTCGTATATCCTGCTACAAACAGTTTCAATTCTAAATTGATGCTTTTATAGGCTAATGTTATTTGCTCTATACTGACCGTCATCTCTACTTCTCGAGGGTGTCTTTGAGCTGCATGCCATTTTGTCTGCAAGAATTTGAAGAAAAAAAGTAAAACACCAGTTTCATAGTCATGTGCAAATCATGGTCATGGTCACGTTCATGGTCAGTATTACTATTATTATTTTTAAGTCTTTATAAAAAATAGTTACATCTGGGGCCGGTTGTTCAAAGCTGGGTTAGCGCTAACCCTGGGTTAAATTTTACGCCGCTGTATTGGTTTATATGCTTCTGCACCGCTGTTTGTTTCAAGATTTCACAAAAGAAGACTTCTACTGATCCACAAAAAATTAATGAAAAAAACATGTTCAATTTCATAGAAATATTGATGTGAAAATTTGAGTTAACCCTGGGTTAAGCTAACCGGTTTTTGAACAACCGGCCCCAGACGTGTAACTGTACAAAATCAAGCAATAATTTTTTTTGACTGTTTACAAATAATAATCTGACTGATAGTTAAGACTTATTAATTTACTGGCTAAAATAGTCAAAAAGACATCTATTTTAAGCCGTTCGTTTAAACCATTCTGTCTTCATATATGCAGGTCATGGCCATGGTCAAGTGCAGGCCATGATCATAGTCATGTGCAAGTCATGGTCATAGTCATGTGCAGGTCATGGTCATAGTCATGTTTAGGTCATGGTCATAGTCATGTACAGGTCATGGTCATGGTCATGGTCATGGTCATAGTCATGTGCAATTCATGGTCATAGTCATGTGCAATTCATAGTCATAGTCATGTGCAAGTCATGTTCATAGTCATGTGCAAGCCATGGTCATAATCATGTGCAAGTCATGGTCATAGTCATGTACAGGTCATGGCCATAGTCATGTGCAAGTCATAGCCATGGTCAAGTGCAAGCCATGGTCATAGTCATGTGCAAGTCATGGTCAAGGCCATGGATTATTCCTTGTTGAAATTTGTTTCGCTGAAGGAAGAAAATGTGCTGCAAGTTGGGACCACGCCCTTTTTTCTAAATGGTTCCGGCAAGCCCGCATGCATGTAGATTGTTTTAAAGGTCACTAACTGGATGTGTAACATGCAATACATTGGGTATTTTCCTTTACACCGAAAAAACTACCCTCAAAATATGACCGATTTAGCCATTTTGGCCGTTAAAAGCGAAGTCCCCATAACAGCTAATATCCGGCATGAAAATGGTAGGTTTTCAACCCACGGCAAACGACCCACCCTTAAAAAATTTCGATTGAGTGGTGCTACGTCACACTATGACAAGCTGTTCTAAAAAGGTATTTTGATGCTGATAAATACTTCCATGCCTTAATCCAACTCATCATGAGAATGTTGTAACTTGTGGACTATAATAATAAATCAAGCTCCACTGTCCTAAAGGTATATGCCGAGGCGTAGGAGCATACGCGATCTCATTAGTACGTCTTTCTTCGGTTTCTGTATTGCTTCAGAATTTGGAAGACCCATAGACTAAGAGGACTGTACAATACTGATTAGAAATACTTTCCTACAACAATTCCAACATCGCCCGACAAGGTAATCGACTCAAGACGTAAAGTACGGTCAATGACAATGAATGAGTAACGACTTACCAACCGAGACTTCAACAATATGATTGCTTCGTTTGTGAAAACAACTTTAATCCCCTTTTCCCTTCGCACTTGTTAAACAATCTTCTACCGGCGTTTCTAAAAAAAACACACTATATAAATTCTGAATGAGAGGCCAATGCCACTCAATGTACCCAATCATCTAACATTCAGTTATACCTTTTGAACACACAATGATTCTGGCCATTCGGACAAAATGCTTTTATTTACAGTCGTCACGCAATATACCAAACTATCATTACAATATGGTTTCGATTTCATTTTCGATAGGTCTGAGTGAAATTAATAACTTATTCGCAGAAAAACGAAAGCACATTGCATGAGTGAATGAAATATGACGATATTTAGAAGGTATAAACCCCAATATCCATAAGAGTAATGGAATGTAAAAATGATACCGCCAAATATTAAGACATAAAATAAAATATTTAATTTTGGCTTCAATTTGTTTCAAGGATAGCGACCGAGTTGCCGTTTCACTTAACATAGATTGTTCAAGTCAAGGTTGTTATACCAAAACACGTACCCTTCTTGAATTTCATTTTCATGACGTATGCGGAATATAAACTAACTCAGTTCGGATGAATTTAGACACCCTAATCTCTAGGAATTTCTTGGCAATGTAATATATCACTTTTCCATTTGGACTTATGGGGTCATGGAAGGGACCCTTACTTGAAGAGGTCATATAAATAACACATCAAAATCAGCAGATAGTCACATCTTACTGATAAGCCGCACTTGTAGTATAAGTCAAAATACTAGGTCGCGTCGTTATCTCAAACCACTCACCCATGGCAACCGCATACTTTTCGAATTCCTTGTTTTTAATTCTCTGTTGTTTTCTGTTGTGTTTAGACTGTCTAAATTTTACATATTACTATTCTGTCATAATTCTGAGCTTTTTTTGGATTAGGATGTGCAAAAGAATCGGAGAAATGCCCATTATAAGATCTTAACGATGAGCGTTGCCGTGAGCGATGCGATAATATATCATGCAGATTATGAATGTTTATGTAACAAATCAACGCATATCGTCTAAAGCCTCGATTTTGAAGCTAGATATATCAAAATGATCCTAGAAATGTGAACTAAATCACTGTAACCAGTTTCCGTTTGCCTTTTGGGCAACATTCTAAGGATTAGACCGCTTTGATATAATATGTAATAATAAATATATCGTAGAGGTTTAAAGGATCTTATAAGACCATAGACTAAGAGGACTATACTGTCTACACAATACTGATTAGAAATACTTTCTACAACTATTCCAACCTCTTGCGACAAGGTAATCGACTTAAGACGTAAAGTACGGTCAATGACAATGAATGAGTAACGACTTACCAACTGAGACTTCAATAATATGATTGCTTTGTTTGTGAAAACAACTTTTATCCCCTTTTCTCTTCGCACTTGTTAAACAATCTTCTACCCGTGTTTCTAAGAAAAACACATTATATAAATTCTGAATGAGAGGCTAATGCCACTCAATGCACCCAATCATCTAACATTCAGTTATACCTTTTGAACACACTATGATTCTGGCCATTCGGACAAAATACTTTTATTTACGGTCGTCACCCATGCAATATACCAAATTATCATTACAATATGGTTTCGATTTCATTTTCGATAAGTCTGAGTGAAATTAATAACTTATTGGCAGAAAAACGAAAGCACATTGCATGAATGAATGAATTATGACGATATTTAGAAGGTATAAAGCCAATATTAATGAGAATAATAGAATGTAAAAATGATACCGCAAAATAGTAAGACATAAAATGAAATATTTCATTTTGGCTTCAAATTTGTTTCAAGGATAGCGACCGAGTTGCCGTTTCACTTAACATAGATTGTTCAAGTCAAGGTTGTTATACCAAAACATGTAGCCTTCTTGAATTTGTGTTTGACGACATATGCGGAACATAAACTAACTCAATTCGGATGAATTTAGACACCCTAATTTCTAGGAATTTCTTGGCAATTTTTAAAAATTTATCTCTTTTCCATTTGGTCGTTTGGGGTCATAGAAGCGACCCTTGCTTAACATAGAATATCTTTTGCAAGTATTTCGGCTAAAGATACCGGAATACCACCAAACGATAGCGCTTGAAGAGTTCATACAAATAGTATATTTAAATCAGCAGATAGTTAAAAGCCACATTTGTAATATAATTCAAAATACTAGGTTGCATTGTCATCTCAAATTACTCACCCATGGCAACCGTATACTTTTCGTAATTCCTTGTTTTTTTATTTTTTCGTTCTCTGTTGTCCTCAGACTGTCTAAATTTTACGTTTTTATTCTTGTGTTATAATTCTGAGTTTTTTTTGGATTAAGATGTGCAAAAGAATCGGAGAAATAGCCATTTTAAGATCTAAGCGATGAGCCTTGTTGAGCGTTGCTAAGCGCGTGCTTATTGCTTGTTCAGAATCCGTATTGTCACGCAGTTCAAAAATGTGACAAAAGTCTGTGATGCACCACTCCCTAAGGTCTATTCGACCGCAAAAATCGATTCCTGACGTAAAATTGGACCAAAGAGGTCAGTTTTTCCGCTTTTTTTCCCTGACATTTTGTTAAATCTGTTTATTATTGTGAAATGCTTGCCGTGAGCGATGCGATAATACATCATGCAGATTATGAATGTTTATGTAAAAAATCAACGCATATCGTCTAAAGCTTCGATTTTGAAGCTAGATATATCAAAATGATCCTAGAAATGTGATCTAAATCACTGTAACCAGTTTCCGTTTGCCTTTTGGGCACAACGCTTTGAGTTATAATATCTAATAATACATAAATCGTGGAGGTTTAAAGGATCTTAATTTCGAGTGGAATTATACACACTTCAAACACACTTGACTTTGAAGTGTGTATAATTCCACTCGAAATTAAGATCCTTTATTTAAACCTCTAGAATTTACCTGCATGGAGTGAAGTGCCAAAAATCATAATCGATTTACCCTCACCAATTCCCGGCATTGCCATTCTATACACATTAACCACGTTTGCTCTTGTAAACTACCCTGCATGTAGCTCAGTGCATGGCAAGAGCATTGCGGCGGCATCGCAAAAGCGTAGGTTCCGGATTCCTGACGGAGGACCTATAAATGACTCATTTTTCCATCAACTGTTCCTGGCTTGAATTTGAAATGTGTATAATTCGACTCGAAATTAGAATCCTTTAAACCTCTAGAATTTACCTACATCGAGTGAAGTGCCCAAAATCATAATAAATAAATCGCATGCATTTTAAAGTAAATATTATAGTGAATTTGCATACAGAACTAAAAAAATCTATCTATTGAGGACAATTTCCTCTTTAAAATGGTTCAATTTTTATTAAAATCGGTCAAGTATTCGCGCAGGAAACGCACATTAAAACTGAGCCGACCACTTTTAAACGTCATCTGATCAGTTTTAAAACAAAAATACAAATTACTTTCACTATCGTATTTGCAGGCCTCTTTCTTCAACAAATATTTATTTTCTCTTTCAGAGAAGAATTTTCTTTGTCCTCCATGTTTGCTTAATTAATTTTATTATCTATAATTGCTCAGGCTTTGGCGAAGTATATTTTTTTCGAAGATATTTGAATTTGAGGTGGAATTCAATAATCTAGTGATGACAAATTGAAGTTGTGATAACAGATTGATTTCACACCAAAATAATGGAAATAGATTATGTGGGGAAATAGATTATGTGCATGGTAAGTGTAGATTTTTGGAAATCCCTTTAAAGAAGCATTTCCTGCATAATAAAGAGTTAAATGCTTTTTGCTAAAATGGATTGATTTAACATACAGTCATTATAAAATGTTTCAAGACAAAGCATTTACAATGTTTTGTCTACCACAATCTCATTTATAGCTACATTACTTTAAATATAATGATACTGGCGTTGATGTAAAGTGAAATGTGTCAAATACGCCGCCAAATAATAATGTGAAAGTTTTAAGAATGTTTATTTGAAGATATGGCTGTATTATACCAAGTCGTAAAGGCAAAAGGCTCCGACAAAATAATTTTGTTTTATGTGACGGCACAATATGGCGAATTCTTATTATGCAAACATCTTATTATGCAAAATTGTTTCGCTTTCATGAAATTAAACAGTATACTCAGTAAACGAAAGCACGTTGTTTTGAACGAAATATGCAACATCAAAAGGCAAACAAACTACCAATAAAAGTAAACTAAAGAGTGTTAAAAGATTACACTAAAATTCCTTCAATTTGGTCCAGGATTGGCTTCAACAAAGGGCCGCCGGAATTATCCCTTCTTTTCACATAACACAGAGTCTTTGCATGTAATTTTCGTGACGGTTGCAGTTAAGAAGGCTTGTTGTAAAGCATTCCGAGGGTGTTGTACCTGCGGAATTTGTAAACCACTGAGCGGATACGCGAGAACGGCTTTGCCCAATAAATTTGAAAAGGATATGAAAACGACGACATGACGCGTGGCGTTTAAAATCCCGTCCATGGACCCACGTTTCCTTGTATACAGGGGTATTTATTTAATTGATTCCCAATCGATATTTTAACATAAAATATTTGCTGACATAAATATTTTAACGTAAAATATTCTTCCGTTTTCAAATTCTTTGGCATCGTGTAGACGGGTCCTTAATTACGGTTATACAAATATTTATTTCGCTACATGTTCCACCCGAATGAGATTAAATTTAGAAAATATTCAAAAACTAAAATTTGCTGTCGATGGTTATGGTACGTACATTATAAATTTAAATGGTACTGTCTATCCATCTTTTTTAACAATTTTTCAAATCTTGCTTCCTTTTCAAATATTTTAACCGTAATCAGTAAGCTAGATTTATGAATTATGCACCGATTCCCGTCTTCCCTTTTAAAGATAGCCGTGACGGCTTCCGATATTTTGAAATGTTTCGGACAGGTGCGTGTAGTCCCGCGCAAAACGCCGCGTGAAATTATTCAGTATTACGCCTATGACATAATTTACATGATGCGCCATAATTTACATGATAATTTACGCCTGTAACATAATTTGCATGCATGTACACAACGAAAATTTTCTGGTCATGTGGCACAAATACTGATTTCCAACAGGTTTTATGAAATTTACTACCCGTGATATATATTTTTACTTCATACGTTTTAAGATATCCAACAAATATTACAGTTACCAAAGCGTATTTACAGCGTCAAACATAGTCGCTATCTTATGGAACTGATCTATATTAAAGTGTTGTTATAATGAAGCTTTATACCATATTTAAACAAAAGTAGTCTAAAAAAAAGTGTGCGTAATCATGACAATTTTTCTCGCCCTATATTATAAGTATGCAAAATTAATTATGTAATGCGTATGATTCAAACGAAAAAAAATTACAACAAAATTTATCGTGAATTTTTGCACGGTTTCCCCTCATCCGGACCTCGCAGCCGGTGTGGGACAATAACATATATATATTGTCGTCATTTCATTGTAATCTTTCGTTGGTGGGCTCAAATGAGTCGCGCGTGCTTGTATCTTGGATGGTAAACGTGATTGTTTGAGATTAGTGACAAGTTTCTAGGGCATCAATCACGGGTTTGTGACCTGGAATAATCTGGAGAACAGAAAGGAAAATGTCTTTCGCTTTTCTCGTATTTCCAACATCGTTGTGAGTGTATCCTAAGACAGAAAGGATTAGAGCATATTCTGGCGCTGATCGATACCGTTTTACCTGCTCCTCCATTTGCTGTACTGATTGTTGTGCATTGTCGACTTTATTCAATTTCAAGAACGCAGAAACCATTTCATGATAAACGAGAATCTCCAATGGTAAGATCAGTTTGCCTCTGGCTTCTACTTCACGTTGAAGATAAACGCTAATCAACAAATTGTCTACGGACGTAAGCGTGACCTTCGTCTCAGATTTCTCATCCAAAATATTTTGAAATTGGGAGATAGCTTCTGCAAAACGTCCCTGTCTGCAAAGAAACGAACCAAAGGCTCTCGCAACAAAAGAATCCATTTTTTCTTCTTTCAGGCGAAGTTTATTAAAACACTCTTCGGCTTCCCTCATCCACCTTGTGTACAACGCCTTGACCTCGTTTAGAGCTCTCATCGCTTTTACCTGATAAAGCTCAGCAACGGCTGCCACCAAATCTTTACCGTGGCTGTAATCTTCGTCCATGCCCAAACAATATTCATAACATTCAATTGCGCCATCTAACTTTCCTCGTGCAGACAGAATCGTTCCTAATGTTTCGTAAACGTTATAAAAGTCTCCAATTGTCCACCGTTTAAGAATAGCCTTTTGTGTCACAAATGGTTTGTCAAAAATTCCTTCTTCAGCATGAATCATCTCGAGAACATCAACATTTAGATCTTCCTCCGTGTCACCCTTTGAACCGGTGGACAAACTAACAAAGGGAGGGGTGGGTGAATCGATATCACAAC